AGCCACCCAGGAGTGGTCCACTGACGGTGTCCGTCCACCCCAAGGGTTGCCCACTGTTGATCCCACCACTGTCTGGTTGGCCCATTGCCGTCCACTCCAGGGACGCCCACTTGTAGACCCTCCACTCAGGGCTTGCGTGCGTGCGTGAGTGTGTGGTGGTGGTGGCGGTGGTGGCGGTGGTGATGGTGGTTTCGGTGGTGGTGGCGGTGGTGGTGGTGTGGTGTTGGTGTGTGTGTGTGTGCATGTGTGTGCGTTTGCGCGTGAGAGAGAGAGTGTGCGCGTGTGTGCGTTTGCACGTGCACCAGGCCCCCAAGACAATTCCATTGGTGGGCCAGCCACCCAGGTGGTGATCCACAGGCGGCCCGTGCCTGGCATTGCTTGGTATTGGTTGGTCGTGCTTGGCATTGCTTTGCCGTGCGTGGCATTGATCGGGCGTGCTCGTTGGGGACTGGCATTGATATCTCGTGCTTGGCATTGGTGATCGTGCTTGGCATCGGTTGTGATTGACGTTGGTCGGTCTTGCTCGGCATTGAGTGATCATGCGTTCCATTGCGTGGGATTGGTTGGTAGCGCATAACATTGTTTGGCGACGAGTAGTCGTGCTTGGCGACGCCTGGCGTTTCTTGGTCGTGCATGGCACTGCTTGGCGCTGACGGTTCATGCTTTGTATTGATTGGCAGCAATTGGTTGTGCCTGCATTGATGCTTGGCATTGCTTGAAATTGTTTGGCGTTGCTTGCCGTTGAGACACCCCCAGGGCTGATGACTGCGACCCCATGGGCCTTTGAAAGAGCCCTTACCTTCCCTTCGGCCTTCGGGTCGCGTTCAGGGTACTGCAATGGGGACCTCCGAAAATAATCCATAAGTGTGCATGTGCGAACATGCATGGCCGTGTGTATATGTTTACATACGTAGGCTTCAGGCTTGCCCTTGTTTGACGGTGAGTGGTCGTGCTTCGCATCGGTGGGCATTGGTTGGTCATGCCTGACACTGCTTAGCATTGACGGCTAATGGTTTCTAATGGTAGGCAAGTGCTAGTCGAGCTTGCATTGCTTGGCATTGATTGGCCATGATTAGCATTGGTTGGCCGTGCTTGCACGCCTCAGAGCTGGTGGTGTGACCCCATGGGCCCTTCGGCGGGGCCTGGGCTTCCCTTCGGCCATCGGGTAGTGTTCAGGGCGCTGCGAAGGGGGCAGCCGAACGCACACACACACACACACACACACACACACCGATATAAATCTTTACGCATATATATATATATAGATATATATATATATATACATATATATATATATATGTATATAGTATATATAAATCAAGCTGCCTGCGGCAAACCCCGCCAACGTGCCCGTGCAGCGGCGCAGCAGGAAGGAGACCGAGTGTTTTGCGTTGGCACTGGTGAACATGCCACACCAAGGGGGGGGGGCCACTAATGAAATCTCCACACCAGAGAATTCTCCACACCAGAAAGTCCACTGGCGGGCCCTCCACTCCAGGGGCGGTCCAGTTCGGACCATCCTCTCCTGCGACTCCTTTCGCCCCCCTTATGGCCAGGGGAGGTGCGCTGGTAAACCCATCCACTCCAAGGAGTGTCTGTCTGTGGGCCAGCCATCCCAGGGAATTCCATTGGTGGGACAGTCACCCAAGTGGTGATCCACTGGTGGCCCGTGCTTGGCATCGCTGTACATTGGTTGGTCGTGCTTGCCATTGCTTGCCATTGCTTGCCCCGAAAGGCCCTGAAGGCTTATCCGAGAGGCCTCGGGGGTGGGGCACTTAGTGCCAAGCACGACCAACCAAAGCTAAGCAGCGCCGAGCTCGACCGGCCAATGACAGGCACGGTCAAGCAATGCCATGCGCGAGCACCCAATACCAGGCTACGCCAAGCACGACCGCACGAAGCCAACCGACACCAATCATGAGCAAGCAATGCCAAGCAATGCCAAGCAGGACCGCACATCGCCAAGCGATGCCAAGCCGAAATACGCAACGCCGATCAACGCCAAACACAACCAGTAAAAATGGCAATCAACGCCAGGCGATGCATAGCATTGCCAACAATGCCAAGCAATGCCAAGGACGACCACTCATTGCCAAGTAATTCCAAGCATGACCAATCAATTCCAGGGAACACCAAGCACGACCACACATTGCCAAGCTGTGCCGAGAAGGAACAGGCAATGCCAAGCAATGCAAAGCACGAACACCAAATGCCGAGCACGGCCAACCAATGTCGAGCACGACCGAGAAAAATACCAAACAGGGGCACTCAGTTCAATTCCAAGCAGTGCCACTGATGGCCTACCAATGTCAAGCATCGCCATGCAATGCCAAGAACGACAACGTGCGCCAGACAATGGCATGCACGACCACCCAATGCCAATCAGCCCCAGGCATGTTTAACCAACGTCAAGCAGTGCCAAGCGATACCACTCAATGCCGAGCGCGACCAAGTAGTGCAAGGCGCGACCCCGCAATGCCCAGGAATGCCAATGGCCATCCGACCGCCAATGTCAAGCAACTCCAAGCACGGCCACCAAATTAAGCACGACCGAGCTATGCCAAGCACGACCAACCAATGCCAAGTCACGCTAATCACGACCACCCGATATCGAGCAATTCTAAGCATAATCAACAACAATGCATCGCCCATGCCAAGACGGCATATTCCTCAGCTCTGGAGCGTCCCCCAAAGGCCCAGGGTATCCAACGAGGTTCTCCCACAGGCTTGCCCAGCAGACTCCGAAGCGTTCCACCAATGGCTGCGAGGCCTCGATTCAGGCTGTATACCTCTCCCGCAAGGCCTTAGCAATGCTTGGCATCGGTAGCTCTCGATGTCATTGTTTCATTCACATGAGGCCCAGGGCCTTGAGTTTGATTGAAACAATCAATACCCCTCAACGTGATTGAGGGCCGAACATTAAAACAAACACATTGAAGCGCACTGATTGTTTCAAATACATTCAGGGCCAGGGCCCTGAGGCCTTTTTTTGGGGTGGGGGGCGCACGAAAGATGAGACACCACACAAAAACTGTCAGGTTGGGTGGTCTGTCGTTTTTTGGGGGGAGTCCCCCCTCTCCCAGGCCTCGGGGCCATGCTCCTGAATGAATGTGATTGGAGCAATTAGCGCCGCTCAAAGTGATTGTTCGGAATCACATACGGCCAAAGGCGGTGAAAGTGATTGAAACAATCAGTGCCCCCAATGTGAATGCTTTCATGTATGTATATATATATATATATATATATATAATATATATATATATATATATAGATAGTCGCTCTCATAGGCGACATCAAGCACATTTGGCCCAGGGCCCTGAATGTGAGTGAAACAACCAGTACCCCTCAATGTAATTGTTTTAATCACATTAGGCCCAGGGCCCTGAATGTGATTGAAACAATCAGTACCCCTCAGTGCGATTGAGGGCCATATATTAAAACAGTCGTGGCTTGAGGCGCCGTGAAGAGGGCAAGGGGCTTGGGCGGAGGTGGGCAAAAGAGGAGGAGAGGTAGCGCGCGGCGGGGGGGGCGATGGCGGGGGGGCGTCAGAGGGACGGGGGGTATCTGGGGAGAGCCTGGGAGGGGGGGGGGGGCAAACAAAAGAAAAACAACAACAAAAAAACTTGACGTTCATGCAGATTTTATTTTTTGTTGCTCCCCCCCCCTCCCCCCCAGGCAGCGCCGCGGGCGATAGGAGGGGGGAGCGTTCTGGCCTCTCGTCCTTTCCTCCCTCTCCCACTCCCTCCCTCCTCCCCCCCCGCATACCGCGCCGCTCCCTCTCTCTCTCTCTCTCTCTCTCTCTCCCTCTCGATCTACACCGCCCTCCTTCTCACCCCCACCCGCGTTGCAACGCGCACCTCGGAAGTAAATCGTGCCGCGCGGCGGCCCCCCAGACCGCCACCCCAGAATCCCCCGTTCTCCCAAACCGCTCGAGCGTGAGCCTCATGTTCAATGAAAGTGTAGCCGGCGCCGAGGCGAGAGCGCCAAAGCTCCTTTAAGGCGTCCAACAGTAATAAGCAATCGAAACTCAACCACCACAACAACAACAACAACAACAACAACAACAACAACAACAACAACAACAACAACAACAACAACAACCACAACCACCACCACCACCGCCACCGCCACCGCCACCGCCACCGCCACCGCCACCGCCACCGCCACCGCCACCGCCACCGCCACCGCCACCGCCAACGCCACCGCCACCGCCACCGCCACCGCCACCGCCACCGCCACCGCCACCGCCACCACAACAACAACAACAACAACAACAACAACAACAACAACAACAACAACAACAACGACAACGACAACGACAACGACAACGACGACGACGACGACGACGACGACGACGACGAGGACGACGACGACGACGACGACAAAAACGACGACGACGACGACGACGACGACGACGACGACGACGACGACGACTACGACGACAACAACAACAACAACAACAACAACAACAACAACAACAACAACAACAACAACAACAACAACAACAACAACAACAGCAACAACAACAACAACAACAACAACAACAACAACAACCGCAACCACAACCACAACCACAACCACAACCACAACCAGAACCACAACCACAACAACGACAAGGACAACGACAACGACAACGACATCGACAAAAACAACGACAACGACAACGACAACAACACCAACAACAACACCAACAACAACAACGACAACAATAACTACTACTATTACATCATCATCATCAGCAGCAGCATCATCATCGTCATCATCATAATCTCGTGCTCCCACTGCTCCTCCTCCTCCTCCTCCTCCTCCAGATCCCCCTCCTCCTCCTACACCTTCTCCTCCAGCTCCTTCTCCTCAACTCCTCCTCTGATTCCCTTTCACTTCTCGTCCTCCTCATCCTCTTCTCTCCCCTCCCAGGCGAGAAGGGGACGCAGAAGGATGAGCAGCAGGAGAAACCAGAGGAGGAGGATGAGGAGCATCACAAAAACGAGGAGGGGGTCCTGGGCAAAGCACGTGAGGCCGTCGTCCTTGCAGCACTTGGTGTCCCAACAATTCGAGGTCGCGTTGGAGCACGCGTCCGCCTCGTCAGGGGGCCCCGGCTCCCCCCGCCCGTCCTCTTTGTCGCACTGGTTCTGGGCGAGGGCAGTCAGGCCGCATCATAAGGATGCGCGGTACGGATACGAGGGCCATGCTGCCGTTTTTCGAACGGGGCTGGCCAGCGAAAGCTGTCAGGGATGGGCCGAAGGGGCAAGGATGCAGGAGTAGCCTTGGAAAGTTGCTCATCCTTCATATGCGACCTGACTGTATATACTCCCGCTCTCTGCCAACTAGCCCCCCGACTGCTGCGGCCATCTAACCGAAAAACGAGTGAGCGTCGACATATCCAATTTTGGAATGAAGGTCCTGTGGTCGACGTTTTACATGTGATCTGCGTCGCAGGACTGGGACGGGTGCGCATCGCTTGCGAGATATCGAAAGGTTGCTGTTGCCCCAGCGTCACGCCCGCTCGAAGTTGCGTTTCCGCTTGGCCGCGGCGCATGGTATCATGTCGCCAGCTCGTCAGAAGCGGGGCAGCGCGCGCACGAGCGCCTGGCGATCGCCAGGCGGGGAAGCGCGCGCCAGCATTTGTTATTGTAAACTTGAAGGGCGGGTGGGAGTGAACGGGGCCGGCTGGCTGGCTCGAGCTGGCTATTACGTAGCTGGAGTTGTGCTCATATTTACCCTGGTTCTCCTCCTACTGCTCCTCCTCTACTAGTCTTCCTTATCAATAACTGGAAGTCGCCCCGTAGCTAAGGAGGAAGAAGAGAGCAGCAGGGGAGACAGGAGGAGAGGGGAAGGGAAGTGGCCCCATGGCTAAGGAGGAAGAGGAGAGCAGCAGGGGAGAGAGGAGGACAGAAGAAGGGAAGTCGCCCCGTGGCTAAGGAGGAAGAGGAGAGCAGCAGGGAAGAGGGGAGGAGAGGAGAAGGGAAATCGCCCCGTGGCTGTAAGGAGGAAGAGGAGACCGGCATGGGAGAGAGCAGGAGGAGAGGGGGAGGCAGCAGCAGAGGCAAGCAGTGCAGGCGGGCCCCACACGTCTGAGCTGCACCCCTGATCTGCCGTGGAGCACACGGGCCCTGGCGCGGACGCACACACGGGCCCTCTGGACCCTGGGCTCCCTCCTCTCCCCTGGGGCCAGTCCCTCCCTCCTGCCGTTCTGCCAACGGCCCTGGGGGCCAGAAAACGGCATCCAACAGAGGCCGACGAAGCTTGGGGGGGAAACTTCAACAAAAACTAACAACAACCAACAACAAAAAAACAAAACAACAACAACAAAAAAGAAGGATGCCCTCTGCCTCAGGGCCCCTGTCCTCACGCCGATGACTCTGCAGCGCATCGGCCTGCGCATGCCCCGCGTGTGAGCACAGGGTCACGGGAAGAAGTCTGGTGCGCCGTCTGAGACGGCGGCGAGCCTGCGGAGGGCTCGCATGATACGCGATCTTCCCATTACAGAACACTTGTTATTTCTTCTCCTGGTCTGATCTTCCTCTACCTCCTCTCTGTCTCGTCTTCTCGTGCAGTTCCTCCTCCTCCTCGAGCTCCTCCCCCTCCTCTAATTTACGCACCCTTCTTCTTCTCCCTGCCTTTGTGGCCTCTTTGGCCTCCTCCTCAGCCTCCTCCCTCTCCTCGTCCTCCACCTCCCCCTCCTCCTCCTCCTCGGCGAGGGCGGCTTTCGCCCCGCGCGCGGCCGTCGGGCCACGTGCTCTCCCGGCCCAGAAACGCCCTCCGAGGCCCCGCCGCCACAGCCTCGGGTGCGCCGAGCAGGGGGGCTGGCAAGAGGGGCGGGGGCCCCACGGCTCCGTCCATCGTTTCCTCGAACGTTTCCTCGAACGTTTCCTCGAAGCCACGAGTAGAAGAAGAAAAGACAGCACAGGCTTATGTCGGGCATGTCTTCCTACAGGCGGAGCTTGAGTGAAATATTAAAAATATCCCCAAAACAAACAAATCTAATCAAAAAGTAGTCGAAAAATCGTCCCGAGACTGTTTGTGTATTATTCTTCAATACTTTCACTATCCTTGAATATTCCTCCTGTAGAGGGACAGGCCCGACTATAGCACAGGCGCAAACTTTCGACGGTGCGCGCTGATTTCTTGGATCTGCGCTGAACCCCCCTCCCAGGCGCGCGGGGAGCGCGCCAGGGGCGGCGCCAGAGGCGCCGCCGCGGGGCCCAGCGCGGATCCGAGGAATCCGCGCGGAGCGCCAAAAATTTAGGTGTATGGCGTTTTCTTCTTCGAACAAAAGCCCAGGATGGCTCGAGTCACGCTCCGGTCGGCCTTCAAGAAGGCCACCGCTCGTCAAAATATACGTCCAACAGATTACAAGAGGACCGCAAGGTTGCTCACAAAAGGCCCCCCAAGATGGCCTAAGGCGCCAAGCAGGGCACTCATAGGCCGAAAACTAAAAAAGTGTAGTAGCCACGATTGGCTTCAACGCCTGGATCTGAAGGCTCGTCGCTCAAAATCAATCACTGGACCCCTCTGGGGTCACGTCCTGCCCAACTGTTCGAGCTGCGTCCAGCTGTGGCGTCGAGAGCCTCCACAGGCGCTCAGAAACCTCCGAAATGAAGACGTCGTCGCCGTCGAAGGCACAGAGGGGGAGAGGGCCGCCGCCTTCGGCGGCAGCAGCACCTCCGACGAGTCCTCCGCTTTCGGCGCGTCCCCCACCTCCTGCGGGGATCTGCTCACCAGGGTCAAGGCAGCCCCGGGTCAGTCAGGCTCTGCAGGATCCTGCAAAATCTGGCGGGATCCTGCAGGATTCTGCCCGCAAGCCCAGGTCAATGCAGCCCTGACACTGCGGAATCCCGCAAGCTCTGGCGCTCTGGCTGACCCGCGTTTGCATCCCAAACCCCCAACGTGGTGATTTTCTTCGCAACGTCGACCCCCAGAGGTCTGGACCCCTTCCCTGGGACCGGTTTTTCGTCCTGAGTCGTTTTTTCGACGGTCCCGAGGCCCGGGAAGGGCCCGCCGAAAATAGCGGAAACCCTCCCGTCGTGATTTTTCCACAACGCGAGGGGGCCTGGGATTCACCACCGTCCCTTGAGCACCGACTCCTCCAGCAGCTGCATGCTGCCGATCCGGCCGCGCGCCACGCCGGCGCGCGTGCCGTGCGCCGCCGCCTCGGGCGCGCCAGGCGAGAGAGGGCGAGCGAGGTGCTCAGAGAGGCACCCAGGGCCGCCCAGAGAACCCAGCAATGCCTCGAAAGCAGGGGAACGAAGAATGGCATAAGCATAAAAACTCGGAGGTCCGCGCGGATTTCTCGGATCGGCGCCGGATCCCCCTCCCTGGCGCGCGCAGCGCGCCAAGGGCGGTGCCAAAGGCGCCGTTAGGGGGGTCCAGCGCGGATCCGATAAATCCGCACGGACCTCCGAATTGTTGTGTTTATGTCATTCTTCGTTCCCCTAGAGAGGCACCTAGCAGTGCCCCAGAGGAGCCGAGAAGGTGTCAAAGGAGCCCCGAGCGGCTTCCAAGTCACCCGAGTGCATGCCGAGAGGTCCACAAGGAAGCCCAAAGTCAACCCAAAACCTACGATAATTACGATGGCTTCTAACATGTTGCGTGTCCTGGCTCTCTCGGCTCAAAATGGTTGCAAGAGGGCCTCGGAAGCGCCAAAGAGATGCCAAAGAGTCCAACGACGGCCGCAAGAAGCCTCGCATGGAGCAGCCTCAAGAGGGCGGCCCAGGACAGGCCAAGAGGGCCTCAAGATGGCCAAACAGAGCCCCATGACGCCCCCAATTCAGCCTCAAGAAAATCCCTAGACGGCTGAGAGGGAACCAAGACGGCTCCAAGCCAGTCCAAGAGGGCCTCGGGAAAGCCCCAGACGGTCCTCGACCTAGACGGCCCCACGGGAGCCCAAGACAGCCCCAAGACGGCCAGGGTATGCCTCATGAAAGACCCTCGAGGAATAGAGACGAGAGGTATTACATGCTATAGATATTGCCTTATGGGTGGTGCTCGAAGGGTCGCCAGAGTGCTGCGCTGGTACGGTGGCTGAACTTTCGGCAGGAAGCTGGACAGGCACGAACATGCGGCGTTTCTACCAATCAGCCTGGCGAAGGACCCAACCATGTAGTTGTGGGCATCGTCTTCGGTGGAGCTTCCTATGGGGCCACGAAACGTGCGAGTGCGAGTGGTGCGCGGAAAGGGGTGGCGGGGACGCATGCGAACTGCGCTACTGGGACCTTCGGTGGAGCTCTCTGTGGGACCACGAAACGTGCGAGGTGTGTGCCGACAGTGGTGGCGGGGACGCATGCGAATTGCGCCACTGGGACCTTCGGTGGAGCTCCCAATGGGGCCACGAAACGTGCGAGGGGTGTGGCGAAAGGAGTGGCGGGGACGCACGCGGGCTGCGCCACTGGGACCTTCGGTGGAGTTCCTATAGGGCCACGAAAAGTGTGAGGGGTGTGCCGAAATTGGTGACGGGGACGCATGTGGAAACCGCATGTGTGGCCTTCGGTGGAGCTCCGCATGGAGCCACGTAACGTGTGAGGGGTGCCGAACTGGGTGGCGGGCGGGGACGCATGTGGACACCGCCACTGGGGCCGTCGGTGGAGCTCCCTATGGGGCCACGAAACGTGTGAGGGTGTGCCAAAATGGTTGACTGGTGTGGAGAGCACAAGCAGGGATTGGAGAAGGGAGGGGGAGAAGACGGAGAAGGAGGAGGAGCAGGAGAAAGAGGAGAGGAGAGGAGAGGAGAGGAGAGGAGAGGAGAGGAGAGGAGAGGAGAGGAGAGGAGAGGAGAGAGGAGAGGAGAGGAGAGGAGAGGAGAGGAGAGGGACGCGGGGCGCTGCCTCTTCAAAACGAGGACCCAACACCACAGGGTGATTAGGAAAAAACAATGTGGCAGACCAACGCACGTGTTGACGGCTCAACGAGCTACGGCACGTTCAGTTCGCATCGTGTCGACCCCAGCGTTGATTCCTGAAGCCGCGGGGATCGTTCAAACTTGAACGATCGGCCGTTCCGTGAACGCCGGATTGTTCAACGACGAGCCGATTCTGGGCCGCGGGCGGCGTTCAACCTTAAACGCAAGCGCTGGGGTCACCGCCGGTCGGCACGACGCGAACCTGCCCTAATCTGCCGCGCTGCTCTGTATTTTACCCCAGCCCTCCTGTGTTGCCGGTCGTCGCTTTGAATACGCAGCACCACGCGAAACCTTCTCCTCCTCCTCCTCGTCCTCCTGCTCCTGCTCCTCCTCCTCCTTCTCCTCCTCCTCCTCATCATCATCATCCTCTTCTCTCATCCTCCTCCTCCTCCTCATCCTCCTCTCTCATCCTCCTCCTCCTCCTCATCATCCTCCTCCCCTCAATCCTCCTGTCCCTCCTCCTCCCCCTCAACCTCAATCCTCATCCTGATCCTCCTCCTCCTCCTCCTCCTCCTCCTCAATCATTATCGCGCTCCTCCTCTTCCTGGTCTCGCCCATCTTGGAACAACCCTCACACGTTTCGTGCCCCTCAGGGGGGCTACACCTACGGACCCGATGGGCAAGTTCACATGCAGCCAGACCGCCCGTTCTGGCAAACCCCTCGCATGATTTTGTGCCCACCAGGGAGCTCCACTTACGGCTCTGGTTGGCAAGTTCGCATACCGACACTCCACCTATTCCGCACGCACCCAACACGTCCCGTGCCCCCAAGGGAGCTCCACCTCGGATCGCATGCCGCCACCCCGCCCATTTCGGTATACCTCTCGCACGTCTCGTGCCCGACAACGCGCTCCACTCACGGCCCCAGCGGGCAAATTTGCATGCCGCCACCCCACCGATGGTGGCACACCTCTTACACGCTTCGTGCCCCAAAGAGAGCTCAACCTACGGCCCCAGTGGGCAAAATCGCATGCCGCCACCTCTGCCCGCTCCGGCACACCCCTCACACGTTTCGAATCTCACAGGGAGCTCCGCCTGTGGCCCCCGTGGGAAAATTCGCATGCCCGTTCTGGCGCACTCCTCACGCGTTGCGTGCCCCACAGGGAGCTCCACCCGCGGCGTGTCGTGCTGGTCTTGACGTGCTGGCTTGTCGTCGTGTGTGCGTGCGTGCGCGACGGCTCGAGGCGTCTAGACCAAGGCGGGCGAGGCGTCGTGGACTTCTGCAGAAGCTGGTAAGACAACACAGACCACACAGAATCAGGCAATGCCAAGCAAGGCCGTAACACATCTAACAAAGCAAAACCCAAAGGCTAAAGGGGCAGAAAACTGGTCGCTGGATAGCTTAGTGGTGACACTCGAAGAGCATACCGTAATCGAAAAATGGGGACGATTGAAGGGAAGAGCCGCCCCCACTAGCAATTCCATGGGCTCCGCAGCGGAGTGTATCACCCTAAATCGGGTTCGTTCCGAAGCCTTGGGAATTCCGCCAAGTTCGCTCCAGAGGCCCTGGACATGATCATCAAGTCCGATTATCTCAGTGAGGATTGTGCACTCAGGGGAGAAAGCATGAAAGGCATAGAGGAAGTCGAGAGGCAACGGGGAGAAGGGAGAAGAGCATGACCATAGTTATGGTTATGTGATTCGTTGTTCCTCCTCCACCCTATCGCGCGATCGGTTACTCTTTGCCTTGCGTGGCATTACGTCTGTTGTTGACCTCATTGCCTGGCATTTGTCTGCACCGACCTGCGATCGCAACTTGTCGCCAAGGTGGCCCAAATCGGTTCGCATCTTTTCTTCGTGCAAGAACGCTGCAGGCAGTGCTCCTGAAAGTTGCCCAATGCCAGCGAGGAGCAGGACTCCAAACGGAGGCGCTCGGCCTGGCTCGGCCGACGGGCCGCGCAGTGCGGCCAGGTACCGCTGGGCGAGCACGCCCCGGAGGAGGAGGACAAAAAAATAGGAAAACACAAGGAAGACAGAAGCGGGCACGGCTTATGCCTCCCCATCCCCCTCGGCTGGCCTCGGCGCCAGTGCTGGTCACCGCTGCTGCGAGGAACCTCAGGGTATACCTACACCCCGCCCAGACCCCCGACGTCCTGACACCCAGCAAGGGGCGAACGCCCTGACCCAGAGGACGTTCCTCCAGCTCTTCCTCCTCCTCCTCCTCCAGCTCCTCCTCCTCCTCCTCCTCCTCCTCCTCCTCCTCCTCCCTCCTCCTCCTCCTCCTCCTCCTCTCCTCCTCCTCCTCCTCCCTCCTCCTCCTCCTCCTCCTCCTCCTCCCCTCCTCCTCCTCCTCCTCCCTCCCTCCCCTCCTCCTCCTCCTCCCTCCTCCTCCTCCCTCCTACTCATCCTCCCTCCCTCCTCTCCTCCCTCCCTCCCTCCTCCTCCCTCCTCCTCCCTCCTGTCCCTCCTCCTCCCTCCGCCTCCCTTCTCCTCCCTCCGTCTCCCTACTCCCTTATCCTCCCTCCTCCTCCTCTGATGAGATAATGTGTTGATTAGCAACAAGATCTCTTTTCATCTTGAGCCAAAATAGGTACACGGAGGAGGGTGTCAGAATCACTCCTCCTCGGGCCTGGCCGCCAACCCGGCCAGGCATGACATGCGTCGTACGCGGGCGCGTCCAAGCCGACACGCCCATCTCCACGTCACACGCGGGCGCGTCCAAGCCGACGCGCCCATCTCGTCAGCCAGGCTGCGGCCATGCCGCGAGCCCCTCACTTCACCCGTCCGGTGCGATCATACCGCCACCGGCGGAAACTCATCCAGCCCCACAGGTAGCGGAGCATGGATTCGATCCACTCCTTCACTTGATATCCTTCTGGGTCGAACTCGGTGCCCGATCCCAGATGTTGAGCGTCGCCATGTGTCTCCTCAAGAGAGATCCACCCACGCTCTTGGTCAGCACGTCCGCGACATTGTTCTTACCAGGAACCGCGGCGATCGAGAGGTCGCCCTTGCCCACGCGCTCCTGGATCCACAGGTATCGGGATTGAACATGTCGCATCTTCCCGAGACCTCGCCGTTGGACGTGGCCCCGGGCCGCCGATGAGTCTGAGGCGAGCTCCACCTTCAGGTCCAGCCCCCAATCTGCGAAGAGGCTGTGTAGACCCAGGCCCACACTCCCGCCCTTCACCAGGGCGTAGTACTCGCTCTCTCCACTGCTCAGAGAGACCGTCGACTGAAGATTACTGCCGTGCTTGATGACGTGATGCCCCAGCATCGCCACGAAGCCTCCGGTGCTTTTCCGAGTGACTGCGCAGCCCGCATGATCGGAGTCCACGTACACCCGGATCTTGTCGAACATCTTCTGCTCCGTGAAAACCGTCACCGTACTGGGATGCCGCTTGAGGTAGCGACCAACCCTCTTGAGCATGAGCCAACTCGCCTCCGTCGGCGTCTGCATGGACCTAGCGAGCGTCTTCGATGCCTCTGCCAGGTCCAGCCTGTCCTGAGACAGGTAGGCCACCCTCATGGTGAGGGATCGGAAGCGCGGAGCTTCCGCCGTTCCCAGCGCCGCCGACTTCGCGTCCATCATCTGCTTGTCGGCGCTGCGCTTCTCCATCGGCGTGTCCACGCCGTTGGCCTTGCTGAGACCCAGCTCGTCGATCACGATCTCTGCGCGCCGCTTGTCCGGCTCAATCATCGCATGCCGGCAGGGCCGGCCACCGCCAGGCGGAACTCCCGCACTGACCTCGATGACCCGATTCAGGAAGACCGCCTGCTTGTCGTCGCCCTCGTCGAAGCCGAGGTTCGCAGTCTTCTTGAACTCGTACTTCTTGCCTAACGTGGCTTCGAAGCTGTCGATGTCCTGCTGCTGAGCCAGCACCGCGAAATCGTCGCCGTGCCCCAGCAGCCTCGTCTCGTCCACCTCCTTGTAGAAGACCGCTGGGCATGACACGCCCGCCTTGTAGCCGTGTTCCTCCAACAGCTCCGTGTAGTCGCCCTGCCAGATCTTGCTGGCGTCCTGCGTGCCGTACCAGGACTTGAGGAGTAAGCCACACTTGTCCTCACCGTACTCCTTGCGACTCTCCTCCTCCAGCTCCACGAAGATCCTCCGCTGCGCCTTCCCGTAGAAGTGCGCCCTGCTGATGTCGAAGAAGCCGATCTTGAAGTTGCCCGGCTTCCTGCCCTTCCTGCGAAGCGACTCCTGAATGTGGAGCGGTGCTTCCCGCGTCCACGTGACCATCAGCGAGACCAGCGACCGCATGGCCTCCAGCGGAGGCATTGCCGAGAAAACCTCGGACGCCTCCAGCTGCTCGTCAGGACGCTTCTTCGCCTTGATCTCCTTCACGACGAGCCTGCTCCTGTAGTTGGGCCTCTCCGCGTCACCCTTGTTCGTGTCGACCCACTTGAGTGGGATGGGCGGACGCCCAGTCTCAGCGAAAGCCTGAGACCTCGGGACGATCTCGATCAGCTCCTGCTTCTTGACCCACTCGCGCTCGACCGCGCGAGCCTGGGCCACAAGGCCCGCCTCCAGGTAGCCGCCATTGACGTCGTCCCAGTAGCTCGTCCAGTCCCCGGGCGGCACCGCCGCGTCCACAGGGACTGGGCCCGACTGCTGCACCTGGGCGGTGCTGAGCTCCCCCACGTCATTCAGCGTGTCCTTGAGCTCCTCCAGCACCGCCTCCACCAACTTCGGTGGATAGACCTTCGCGAACCGCGCGATGCCGCCCACGAGCGTGATGTGGCGATGCCACTCCGCGCGTCCGTCCACATTGCTGCAAGTGCCCTGCAGTCTCCGGGCTAAGCCTGGGTGGTTGGTGACCCACCCGGTCTCCTTGCGCACGAACTCCTCCTGGCCACTGCGTGGGTTCGTGAGCTTCATGCCCCACCGACACATGGGGCCTTTGACCGTGAAGACTCCTGGATGCGCGACCAGCTCCTTGACGATGTCCTCATTCCACGATCGCGCGCTCCAGGGATGCTCATGCAGGAAGTACCTGCCTGGCTTCCTGAGCTGACGCCAGTAGGCGTCGACTGCCACCTTCAGGTGGTGTCTGGCCTCCTCCATCTCAGCCGCCTCCTGCTCATCGGTCCTGAACTTGGCGCTCAGGCCCCTCAGCAAGCTGAACTTCTCGCATGGAGGGGACCCTGTGAGCAGGATGGGATCCATCCGCTCCTGCTGCTCCTCGAGCTCCTTGACATCCTCGGGTCGCCGCAAGTCCCACGGCGCCCCGTCCTCCTTGAGTTCCTCCAGGTCCGCCGCGAAGCCCGGGCGCAGCTGAAACTCCGCCGCCCGAGCCGAGAACCGATGTGGCGAGTACACCTCTGCCACGTCCACGGCGCCCAGCTGCAACGCCGATAAGGCGATGCTGTCCACCTCTTCGTCGGCGATGTCCACGCCGACGCTGGCCCAATGGCCGCTGACCTGCTCGCGAACGAGCGGAAGCAACTCCGCCTTCGCTCTCGTCAGCACTCCGAGCTCGACCAGCTCGATCGACGCCACGTCGAGAGCGAGCACCCGCATGTGTCTCCCCTCACTGGCGTTCCACACGACTGCCACTCCAGCTGGCAGCTGAGGTCCCTCCGCTGGCGCCGGCTGCGCCGCGAGATCCTCCATGTCCACCGGTACCGGCACGTCTGCCGGCTGTGGATCACCGCGCTCGAGGGCCTCCGGCACGTCATCCGGGGCCACCTCCGCCAAGCGCTTCAGCCGCGACCTGGTCGCGGTCATGTCGACATCCTCGGCGGCCTCTGCCGCTCTCACTGCTCCCGAACTGGAGCTCGCTCCTCCTGAAGGAGCCGCCACGCCGGAGCCTGATGCTCCCGGCTGGCTCTCTCGCATGCGCGCCGCTGCGGCTGGCGCTGCTGCCGATCGGCTCGCGGCCGGCGCCGACGCCGCCGCTGCCACCGGCTCGGTGATCCTCCGAGCCGTCTTCGGCGGAGGGGTCCCTGCCGCGGCCGCTGCCGCCGGGCGGACTCTGGCCTCTTGGCCCTGCCTCCGCTCTCGATACTGGCCGGTCCTCTCCCGGCCTGCCTCCTCAGCGTCCAGCGCTTCGAAGATTCTCTTGCTGCACACCGCGTTGTGCGCATGGCCAGCCAGCACCTTGCCGTGCTTGGCGATCGAGACGCACCCTGGGCATCCCGGCGTTGCGCCCAGCCGCTCGACGTCCGCCTTGAGAACGTACATCCTCCTCGGCGCCTGCGGCTGCGGCGGCACCACCACAATCGGTGGCGGACCGGCCTCTCCCGGTCCGACGATGGCTCGCGGCGCACTGGCCGCACGCGGAGCCACGTCCCACGGCAGGCCCTTCAGGCTGTCCCAGCCCGCCGTGATCCACTTCTCGCTCTGCGGCAGGCTGCGAAAGCCGACCGCCTTCTTCACACCGTCGCTCGTGATGACCATCATCGAGCCGTCGCGCGGGTGGTGGCCGATGTAGCGAGCCTCCACCATCTGCTCCTCCAGCGCGTTCTTCCTCGCGCGCTCCCCGGCGAACCGCACCATCAGGCGCTCACCGAAGAGCGGGACCGGCTTCCTCCACTGCCGTCCCGTGAGCCGCTGAAGAGCGGTCTTGCCGTCCTGGCCGCGCCTGTATCGGTTGATCACCGATGCGGCGTGCTCCGGCAGGTGCGCCAGCACTGGGTGCTTGTCCTCCACCTTGACGCCCAGCTTGGACTCCAGGTCCATCTTGAGCGCCCGCACCTGCTTCTTGATCTCGCGCACCGTGACCTCGATCTCCCCATTGGCCTGATGATCGGCCGGTGCCGACTCCTGGGGAATGGCCTCGAGGCCAGGAACCTCCTCCACCGCACGCCTCTTGACCAGCAGGATCGCTGGCTCGCCGTCGGACTTGTTGACGATCTTCCTGTAGCCCAGGATCCGTAAGAAGCGTGCGAAGAACTTGATGGCGTAGGCGTCGTCGCCCTTCTTCTCCACGAATGTCGCTGCCATCATCTTCGAGCGTCGATCCCTAAGGACCAGCATCGGCATGGTGTCCGCGTCGTCCTGGCCCATGAAGGCGTAGTCGGACGAGACCACCGGCACCGCCGTCTCGTCGTCCTCCGGTGCGCGGAGATGCGGCTGGCCTTGGCCCTTTGCCGCAATACACACGCGACACCAGCTGCGGTAGGTCGCGTGTCCCATCGCCTCGTGCTCGACGATCTCCCTCTGAGAGGGCTCGTGAGGTGCCTTCAGCACCCTCGGGCGAGCCTCCTCCTCGCCCTCGTCGGCCTGCTGTCCATCAGGAGCAGCTGGCAAAACGTCGGCCGCGGCAGCTGCCGCTGGCTGAAAACCCGGCGGTCTCATGTCGGAAGGTCCCGACCCCGCCGCTGCCACCCCTGCAGCCAATGCCGCAGGGGACCGCGGTATTGAGTCTTCCAGTGGACTTACGCCAAGGGCTGCCTCCTGGGGACTGTCCTCTCGAAGATCTCCAGCAGCTCCTCCTTCGACTTGCTGCTGAGGAGCTCCACCAGCTCGGACTTCGACTTCGCCGAAAGTCCCTCCTCGAGAGGAGCAACCGAGCCATGTTGGCCCTTCTTGAGGTAGAAGTTGTAGACTCCCTGCTCACGATAGACCGGCAGCATCTGGTGCTTCGCCGTCTTCGCCTCCTTCTCCAGCATGCCTACCACGCGCTTGCCGATTGGGCTCTTCTCGTGGAATATCCAGCCGCCATTGCGGCCTAGGAATGAACACTGTCCAGCTCCTGCTGCCTGCCCCACCGAGATCAACGGCTTGTGCACGTTCGTCACGCGTCCCTTGAGCGCTCTGAGCACTCCGTACTCGTCCTCCGCCTTGAGCTGCAAGCTGCCCTCGTCCGGGACGAGCTCACCACTGGCCGTACGATACGTGCTGCCGTTGCCCTTCATTCCCGTCGGCGGCGCGAAGCTCCGAGGGAATGCTGAGACAGCTGCACCGCTGTCCCAGTTGAACTTCATCCAGTCGTCCTGCACGAAGGGGGAGAGGTCGACCGCCGCTACGCCGCGGCCGTTGCCGCTGGCGAGCTCCAGGCAGTCCAAGCTGCCCATGTCCAGAGCGGCGACCTCCGCCTCAGGCTCCTCCTCCAGGCTGCCTGCCGCCTTGCCGCCGGCCTTGCCGCCGCGGCTGCCACCTTTACCACCGGCGCTTGCCCCCGTTGCGGATCCAGTTCCAGCCCTCGTACTCGATCCCTGCTCTTTCCTCCAGCATTCGGATGCCTTGTGGCCCCATCTCTCGCAGTTCCGACAGTAGCCGTCGAAGCGCACGCCGGTGCTTCGGGGTGCCATGTGCCCTGAACCACGGCCCGAACCCGTCGGGGATGTGCGGGAGCCTGAGTATGATCCGCTCGTCGATTTGCTCTTCCCCTTCGGCTCCTGGGTCTTGCCTTTCCCTTTGCTCTTGCCGTCCTTGCCCTTGCCTTTGCCTTTTCCTTTCGGGGCTCCGAACGATCCGACGTCCATGTCGTCCGGATGATGCGCCCGTGCGCGGATCGATGGCTCCTTGATCTTCACGCCTGTCCGAGCCTCTACGATCGCCATTACCTCGTTCAGGCTGTCCTGGAACGTCACGAGCCGATGCTTGTTGAGTACGAGGTGGTTCTCGATGTCCTGAGGCACGAGCATCTCGAGGGCCGCCATCTTGATATCCTCCGGCAACTCGGCCAGCCCGTCTTCTCCTTGGCGGCGTTCGTACTTGCCTATCTGCTGGATCCACTTCTCTAAGGCGGACCCCAGCTCTTCCGCGTTGCACTTCGGAGGCGAGATGATCGACCTCAGGATCAGCCTCTTCCTCGGACCTGTCGTCGGGTCCCACCTGCGGTGAAGCTTCCGCCAGGCCTCGAGACCGTTCCCGTCGGGTGCGCCCGTCACGAGGTCGTTGCTCTCGCTGCCGTCCGCCGTCGTGCTGATCAGCGCCGCGTACAGCTGGTTGATCTTGGTCTCCAGCTCTGGTACTCCTCCGTGCGCCTCCTGTGCCCCTTCGATCGTCACGGGGCGTTCGGCTTCTGCCGCCCACCGGAGAACAGGACGGAAGCTCTCTCCGTACACGCCTATCACGTAGTTCTCCATCTTGCGGTTCCAAGCTCCGAACTTCTCCTGATCGTCGCCTAGCGTCGTGGGCTTGCCGATCCCCTTCGTGTCGACGAGACCGGGTGCGGCTCCTCCCGCGTTCGTAGCGCCTCGGATCTGCTCGCCCATGCGCTCGATCGCCTGCGGGATCGCCGCGAGGCCTCCTGCTACTTGCTGCTGAAGCCGTTGATTCTCGTTCTCCAGCCTCCTCATCTCGTCGACGGTCTGACTCATTCGGGCTGCGAACTCCTGCCTCAGTAAGTCGAACTGCTGCCGAACTTGCTCGTCCATGTTTGACTGCGTGTCTCCTGGCGAGCTCCTCCTTGCTCTCAGCTATCTCCTGCCTCGTGCGCTCGAGTTCTATGATCTGATCCAAGACCTCCTTCTTTGCCTCCTCGATGGCGCCCGACGAATTCTCCGACGGGTGGTCCTCGATATACGCGAGGTCGTGCAGCTTGTTGCCTGTGTCCTTCAGGCCGTGTTTGAACTGAAGCTGACGGCGTCTATTCTCAACCGCTGCGTCGCTCCTCTGGCCGCGCCTGCGGCCGCTCTTCCCGGCTCCTGCCGGTCGACTCCTCCCGGACTCTGCCGGTGGTCTCCTCTCAGCCTCTGCCGGTGGCCCGGCCGCTGCCGAGCTTGGTGCGGCTGATGCCGCTCTCTTCCAGCCTCGGGTCTCAGCCCACGCGCCTTGCCAACTCGCCGTGGCGCCCGCGCGCGCCAAGGCCCTGGTGGGTTGGCAACTGAGTGGCCAGCTCACGCTACCA